CAAGTTAGAGAACAGTACAACACATGAAAACATACTGTACACCATTAAGGCGACGTACTGATGACTAGGAGCATTGTTACAGCAGCAATGAAGACACCATCTAAAGGTCAGACATCTGGGCTAAAAGCTGTTTACGCTTTGCTATGACAAAACAACGAAACGTTAGTCGTTGATTTTCAGGTCATATGTAGAGTGCAGCCCTTCAGGTTAGATTTTTTCATACAATTACGAAAGTATGATAGTATATTTGTCCTCAAAATTTATATCCATGCAATATCAGTGGCCTCAAAGACGAGGTCTTGCAGACAAATTAGGTTCAAAGCTACAGGCTTTGACTTCCTGACTCGCCGCCTACCTTCCATGTAAGATTGTTAGACGCTACCAACATCTTTTTATGTCCCTAACAGCCGTAATTTCATTGATCATCAAAACGCAGTGAACGCAAGTGCCTTCAACAATCTCAATTCTTTTATTAGCACGATCTCCGCGTTGTTATTATCTTCTAATTGAAACTCTAAATTTCAGAGGGTTGTGCACTTTCTTTGCCTTGTAATGAAAGCTTATTCCGATGCGAGTTGCTGCCACTTGTCATTAATATCAATTAAAACTAAACTTAAGAGAGACCGAATGCCGGAGGGTCCCAAATCTTAGATTTACCTGAACGGGTGGTAACTGCTGCAATCGATATTATATATTTTGTCAGCACTAAATCCGTTTCCTTGAGATCTAATATTTCTTCAAGTGCCAAGATGATGAAAATGAAATATGAACGACCGTATTTACATACTTCAAGACGTCGGTCTGTTATTAAAATGTCTCGATTCATTTCGCGAATTGAAATGATCCTTTACCGTTAATTTTTCGGCCACCTCCTCGTAATGAATATTTATCTATGTCCGGCTACGTCGATTACAGCATAACGTCTAATAACTGCATGTTAAACATCTTCAAGCATGTAACCAATGTTGTAATATAGATGGTTGACCACTGACCGTGTCAAAAAGAAGCGAGGTTTCTAGAACAATGAGTTTGACTGAGGTCGAAATCGCAAGAAAATGTTCAAAGATGAAGTCCATGATGTGAACGGAAATGTTGTTACAAGACAGGCAAGAACATACCACAAAACTACCACGTTAATATAGGTTATTACTATAAGTTGCTCGAATCGTCCGTGCAATACTAATATTTTGTGAATAAAGAATTGCTCGATGTTATGGCCAAACAATGGAATTGGGAACTTCGTTCGAATGATGTTTCATTGAAATTTATGGCTGTTCACAGCTGACCGAGGAGATCGACAAAGCCTTGGCTGGATCGAAGGCGATCAACTATGGACAGGACTGATCGAAACGGCCTGTGCCTGTCCATCGGTCGAGTTCATCAATTCATTCATCATGTCAGCGCGTGAGGCATCGCACACTACGGTGAAAGCAGATGAAAAGTTTATGCAATTTTTTGGTCGCCTTCCGTCGCCCGGCCATGATAAGCTGTCATGATGAACGACGCATTAGGGTAGGATAATTGAATGTCATTCTGCAAAATGGCATAAGGTTAATCAAACGTCTTTCATGTGCTCGTCTGGAGCCTCGGCGGACACATGGCCGCAAATGAATACCGATTCGAACGACCAGCGGGCTGAATCGGCCAGCAGTCATTCAGCAGTGTCAAGCTTAGGTCGCTCGTAGATGACGGGTGGGAGGGGGACGAGACACACGGGATCCACTCTGAGGTTAGCCTATTGCTCCATTTTTGGCTCACAGCCGGAGAGCAATCTTTTGACCACATTATAGGCACTTCCCGATGACCAGCAATCTGAAAAATAATTTTTTCTCTATTACTGTTTGTGGTATTTTCAAAACTGTCGCTTCGTTGTCAACGCACAGGATCAGTTACAGAACAACGATAACCTCATGAATTGGATCTGATGTCGACATCTCTTGTTCAGAATAAATTTACGGATGCAGTACTGATCCGCGAACTGCCGGGGTAACTCAGTCAGTCACTAGAGCGTCCAACTCACAATCAACAGGTTCTGGGTTCAAATCCCGGTCAGGGCACTAATCTTTCAGTATTTTCAGATATAAGAATATCAGGTAAGAGGTAAAGAGTAGATTTCATCCAACAGCGATCATCCAACTGTACATGTAGTCTAAGAAACTAGCAAAGCATTCTCAGCTGATGATACGTAAAAGGAGACTGACAGGAGAGGACATCGTACGAACATATTTGATGTTTATGTTGTACCATATAAGAAGTATCAGGTTCTTTGAATTTTATAGATAAATAAGAAAATAAGCAATTCCGGTGGTGACTGAAACAGGATTTCAAAGATTGGCGAAAAAGGAAAAATCCAAGCAGAGATTCAAAGGAGTCGTATCTAAATCAAAGTAATTATATATACATATATAATTACTGGAATCATTACGCTGCACTGGTATGAATTTTGGAATCTGCCTTCATTCTGCACATGACCAAAAAATGTATCAGTTTCCAGTTATTTGTG